GATCCTGCACACTCTGTGCCTTTCCTGCTCAGCAAAGCAGAGTAAGTCTGGTGGGGATGGAGCCAGCAACAACTCTTTGTCATCCTGCCCCCATGTTCTCAGTTTCCAGCTCGTGCCAGCTCGTCCCCGGCCCCCTCTCTTCCCACTGTGGCAGGAAAGGTGATGCAGGGGTGCAGGAGGCGAGGTGGGAGGCAGCACAGGAGCCGGTGGGCATTGAGCTGTGAGTGGATTAACTGCTTATTTATCCTCACTCTAATTAGACCCAGCACCTCATTTCGCAACTGCAGGTAGCACAGAACCACGTTCTCAGTTATGCTGAGCTGAAAATAGGCAGAGCATGGGCCACAGAGATGAATTCCCAAACCTCACACTGCAGACCCTGATCTAGGGCAATCGTTTCTGTCCTTAAAGCATCTGCAAACCCCGAAAGAGAGCAACCCCCTGGAGCTGGGCTGCAGCAGACTTTGCCCCACCCTTTACCCCAACCACCCTGCGATTTTTGAGTGGTCCCCGCTCAGTTACTTCAGGCAGCAGGATGGGAGAGCAAGGCTGGGAAAGGCTCAGCAAGCGCTGTCCAGCAAGCACCCAGGTGTGGGTTTGTGCCCACGTGGGCAGCGAGTGCATGTCCTCAGCTGTGCCGACTGCTGCCACGCACTGCCAGGAGCCAGCAAGGCCAGCAGGGTGATGCCGCCACAGGCAGGAGGGGTATGCTGCTATTTCCTAACATCACATCACCACCATTTCTTCTCCCACAGAACTGGGGCTTCAGCAAACACTCTTTAAGAGCTAATCCTTGCTCTGTAATCATGGATCCGTCATATTTTAGCCCTTTTTTTGTTAAATTAACTGGGTGACAGTAACACAACTGCTTCTGCATGCTTAGATGTTTTTGCAAAAGGTGTGAAAGCGAGAGGACTGAGAACAGCAACAGCAGCGCTTTCAGCAAGTTTTCACTGGGAGGTGTTGATTAGATTTCAGAAGAGCTCAACTCAGTCCTGTACGCAAGCCCGAGTTAAAAAACAATTTATGCACAAAACCAGTCTAAGCTAAAGGCAAAGGAGGAAACAGAGACTTGGCCTGAGAGCAATCTGCCAATGCAGAAATTCTGTGCCAAGCCCTCAGGAAGGTGCCCCAGGGCAAGGGCAACTCTCAGAGAGATTTTGGGTTCCCTCACTGCTGCCCAGCTTTGGCTTTTGACAAAACATCCCATCCATGACTCAAGCGGTTTGGAGAAACTCGGTATCCAAATGCTCAAGGCCTCCAGCACTGGGAGCGGGAGAATAGGGGCTTTATTACCATTTTTTATTACCAAGTTACGATTACTCAAAGAGCCACAGGCCCGAGGCTCAGTGTTAGGGGCCAGACCTGTTCACAGACTCTTTGCAGCCTCGCAAACATAAGATGATTTTTTGCTTCATCCTACCCAGGGAACAATCCACCCGGTTAAACCAACTCATGTTAGGACACCACAGGGCAGCCCAGCTGCTGAGCATTAAGCAAAATGGTCCCATGGATGTAACTAATGGCACCACTCACCTCCATTGCTGGGCTGGGCCTGATGAGCCTAACGAGGTACATATACAACCTGCTGGGGTTTGTCCTTGCCTCTCCTGACTGCTTTTACCCTACACAAGCTGTGTGTGTGGCAGCAAGAGTCATCTTTAATGACCCCTATTGCTGTGGAATCTTGGAGCAGTCATGAAGTAGAGGGAACGGGGAATGCCATGTCCAGAGGAGAGCAACAAAGCTGGGGAGGGGCCTGGAGCCCAAGGCTGCTGGGGAGCAGCTGGGGGAGCTGGGGGTGTTGAGCCTGGAGGAGGCTGAGGGGAGACCTTATCGCTGCCTACAACTGCCTGACAGGAGGGGGGAGCTGCAGGGGGTCGGGCTCTGCTCCCAGGGAA